CTTAATGAATGAAATGTTGATTAATATCCGGGAACTATAGCATGAATGCATTTTGCTGAAGAGAAATGTTATTTTCTGCTTTCTATAGGTGGTTCTTTTTGAAGGTTGGATGCTTGGCTTTAAACCTCTCCCTGGTGATGTTGTCAAAGCAGTAGACCCACAGGCAAGTTGCTTGTAAAAACCAACTCTCACCATTGGATTCTTTCTAACCTCTTTTTATCTATTTTCTGGGCACATATCCTGATATAATTCTATTTTTCCAGCTTGAAAGCGTAAACAGAAATCTTGAATCCTACTATGATGCATGGGACAGGTTTGTGAACATATGGATAATCATCAAGATCAAGGATCCTAGTTGTGTTTATCAGTGGAGATTACAGGTCTGTCTTATTATTATTATTATTATTATTTTTTTTGGTGTTTTAAACAGTGGAGGAAGGACTGTCCTTTTCTATGTTTTTGCACTTTATTCAAATTTTAGCTAAATTTCAGGCTGAAGTGGCAATGAGAAATGATGGGAAACCTGGAATGTCCGACGAGGAGGTGTGTCTCTTCTATTCTTTACCTTTTCCCCTTAATGGTATTAGTGCATATTTAGACAAGCAAAATTATGTTCAACATAGCTGAAGCTTTGCACCATTACACTCTGTGCCATCAAACTTGATAAACAATAGGATGGGTCAAATGCATAATTTATTTTACTATAGAAAACTTTTGGGTAGGTTTGCTTAACCAAATTTTGATCAAGATGAATTTTTAAATTATTGAATCTGGTTTGAGATACATCCAATACATGAGGAATTACAAAAAAAAATGATTACATTTATCTCAAAACCAATGCAATAATATTGAAACTAAAAGTTTAGTAATCAATTACTTCTCTTTTACTGATTTTACCCATTGAATAAGGCTGGATGCTATTTCTTTTGATTGGATATTATTTCAGGTCTTGGATTTTGTGTCTCGGTATTTACCTGCCTATAATGCATATCTTCCAACCCTGTATTCTGAAGGCCCAAGGGATTTCTTCGATAAGGAACGGCTTCTAGTAATTGATATCGATGAAGGGAGAAATCCCGTATCAGAGGTTTGAAATTTAATGTAATTTAACATTCTGGAATCTAACATTTAGGCTTGCCTAATGATATAACCAT